TCAAGACTCCAGCTTCTTCACCACCAAAAAATCCATCCACACCAGTTCCAACAGCAAGTAATTCGTTAACGGATGGAACAGAACTTAAAGAAACAACGCCAACAAATCAAAGCTGTCCATGCTGTACTCTACCAAGTAATCAAGTTCTTGGTAAATGCAATTTTTGCGGTTATCTCATGCCGGAAAATGTGAATAGACCAAAAACATCAATATCTGCAGCAGGTGCTACCGTTCCACCAGCTGTTGGCGCCAACACACAGAATAGTAAGTCGGAAGCTGAACAATTACCTCTAGAAAAATAAATCAAATTAAAAATTAGAAAACTATTCTGTCGTAATTATTTTTGCATAAAATTTCAATTAAAATAATTTAATTTATTAAAAAAATTCTTTCTTTAAATATACAATGAATGCTTGTATGTGTTCCGATGCAATTTTAGTAAATTTATTTTTTAATTATTTATTTATAAATAAAAAATTTTAGAGAATTTGTTTTTAAAATGTTTACTCAATCAAAAAAAGACGCTGATTTATTTTTTTTTATAAATTTATTGTAAACATCAAAATTATTTGAATTTATATATAAAATTCATTAATGTATTTGCAAAATGTTTAAATTGTTAATTGGATGAATAAATTGTATTAAAATATTAATATATCAAATATATTTGTTTTGTTTTTCTTTTTGTTGTAAATTATTAGTTATTCCTTATATCAATAATTAAAATATATGGACTTTTATTATTTATTGTTATTATTACAAAATTTAATTGTTATTAATTTTTAGTACTTTGACATTTTTTCATCAAATTTATCTTTCATGTGCCTGATTGTCTATGTAGTTGTGTATTTATATATTATTTTCTTTGTACACATATTTTCTATGTATGTATATTTTATGTATTCCTTTGAAAAATATAGTTAATATATGTATATTTTCTTTAGTTTCAATATGTAGAGTTTTGAATTCGGCATATAATTCACTGTCGATTTTCCATTTAGAGACGCCTGGCTTTAGTGAGATCACTCATTAGAAGTGGGTTTAACGGAACGGAACTGCAAGTGGAGTCATCTTTGATGAACTGAAAATGTATAATTAGATTTATTAAAGGTTTCCTAATTACTGAAGTGTATACCAAACAAAAGTTATGGCCACTAAATAATTTAAACTTTTTCCTGAAGTGGACAATAGGAATATGAGTAGGAATATATCTATACCTATTGAGAACTAAGGTGCTTTAAAGGGTTTGTGTTTAGTACGACTAACATGTATGATGGTTTATGACATACTTGAACGACTCAGTTTAATATATCTATTCTTTAGTTGTGTCTGGTCACAGGAGTAGCAATTTATCTGTACTTAGGTATTGTTAAGCAAGCTATTTAAAGTTGTTTAATTCTTTTAAAAAGTATCTAGCATGATTTTGACATCCTCAATTTAATAAACCGCATAGTTACAATTCAGATGAGTTAGTCGTATAGTGTGTTTTGGGTACTTATTTAGAGCATCTAAAATTCTTGGGCATATCTCAAGCATTATGCAAACAGCTATTAAAATCTAATTGTATTAAGCAATTTAATATTTGTACATAAGTTATCCTTTCTAAAATAAATAAAAACTCAACCAATGTTATTAAGATGCGTTAGGAAAGTATCAGCCTATAGTGGGTTTTCTGACAGGTCACTCTTGATTCTTTCGAGTTTGTATAGTTGTTGAAATGATTTCTTCATATAATCTCTAGGAAACTGAATATATATGGTACAGGACATAGTGCTATTTTTGTATATACTCGCACGGCGGCAACTCAACACTTTAGCAGACCCCTTCCTTGAGTATTTTGTACAATTACAAGACCTGACACTCAATAGCATTTCATGCTCCGCAAGAGGTTATAGTTGGTTTAAAACCCTTGAGTTTTCCTACATATACGGTAACACAATGGGCCTATAGGCCTACGTGGATCCACTAGGAACCTGCTGGTATAACCTATCTAACCTATTTTTCTTCTGTTTTAATATTTTTATTTAAAATCATATTGTCGATCTTTGTGGGAACGTCACTTAAGATTTCTTAAGAATGTGTTTTAGGATGTAGTTGGAGTCTTTAAATAGATATCTCCAATTGCAATTCAGTAATAAATTGTATGTTGAATGCATGTTTATATTTATTTATTAATGTAAAAAATGAAACTTATTTCTTACTCTTAAATATTTTCATTTTACTTTATCTTTAATTCACTTCTTTAATCTTTTGCTCTTTTTTTTGCACATCACTGTTCACTGTTATTATAAAAATATTTTGAAATATTCTATAATATATAAATTCTACTGTTTTAAACTGCAAAAAATGCAATTTAATAAAATAAAATCTAAAATATTGAATGCAACGCCAATTTAATTTTGCTAAGATCATAAACCGAATGCACATAAAAATCAAAAATAATTTTTGAAACCAAACAATTTTTATTGTTTTTATAAAAAACGAAAATTAATTAAAATGTTTAATTGTAAACATCAAATTCGAATAATATTAAAGTTTGGAGCAAACAGTCAAGCTTAGCAAGTAGCACTGAACCATCTTCACCGGCAGTATCCGATAGTTACTCACATGGAACCCCAAGCGGAGAAATGTCTATCAGTTTGACTAGCACCGAAGGGTGAGTAGCCCATTTTTTATGTCAATTAACACTTTTCATCTCTTTTCAACACCTGCTGTTTTTGTAGCTTTAATATTTTACCCGCGGCTGAAGAGTTGGCGAAATTCTTTCCACAGTTAGACGACGACTTAAATTCGGTTACCGTCTATACACCTATGAATGTAGATACATTGGATGTTGATGCTGATTCAGTGTTCCTATCAAGTAGCAGCGGCAGAGGTGATAAAAGTGCTTGCCTTACGCCAGTTAGCTTCGGCATGGATATCAGTATGATAGCAAACAAAGGTTCCATGACACTATCAGTTGATGTAGATACAATTCGATTTGATATAAAAATAATTTATACAATTTCCGTCTTTATTACAAACAGGGTTTCGACGATGAAGATGAGACCACATTATCAGCTGCCACTACGCCTTCATTACCCACGGATGACATTAAATTGGAAACTTGTTACTGCTGTCCCACACATGCTGAGCAAGGACAGCCCCCAGATTGTGAATTTGATAATGATATATTTAAATTACCAGAACCCTTAAAAATTCCAGAAACAAAAATCATTAGTTCCTCCCCAGATAAATATGATACACCACCGACACTGACTTTGCATGATGACACTGAAAACAGTCTAAGTCATAATGCACAAAAAATTTCCATACGCAAAGCAAGCGATCCCGTTTCACCGAGAATACAAAAGCAAATAAGTCTCTTTGAAAGCGGTGACTTTGAGCGTCAGAAAGAAATCTCCACATTACATGCTTCTATAAATATACCAGCTTCAACACAACAACTCAAACAAGATGAACGTTTGCGTAAATTTGAGAATCTAACGCAATCCACTTCAAATTCCAATTTTCCTTTTGAGAGTAACACCTTAAAGAGAGTCACTCATAATGCTGCCGACTTTGTCGATGTTACACACACACAATCGTGCATAAATTTAAAGAGTTCTTTGGGTGCCTCACCGTCTTCGTCTATGTCAGGTTCGCCGCAACATAAAAGCAAATATAAAACAGTAGCTCAATCCTGTTGCATAGTGACTACAGATGCAGCATCCGAACACTCACATCCAGGTGCGATTGTTGTTAAGGAAAAATTTATAGAACCTCCAAAGCGCATAGCGCGTGGTTTTCATGAAAAAACACAATCGATGGATGCAGATTTTTTATTTAATGAATTTCTTCTGGTGCCGGCACGTTCTGCAGTTCCACTTCCACATTCGTCCAGTAGCGGTACGAGTAGTGCTAGCACATCACCATCATCGCGACCAAATTCCAGATTTATAGCTACTAAAGTAGTTGACGATATGGCCGTAATGGGCAGTAAATAAATAGATAAATTGTCTTTAAGATGACACAAAATATGAAATATCAAAGAGTTTCTCTATTCATAGAATAAAATTTATTTTTCTTTGAAAACTTGCTGATTTTTTTAATTAAGTAAGTCTTTACTAAGTCTTTAAGTCTTTGTTATTATACATTTTTATTTTACAACTCAAACTTTAATGTGGAAGTTTAAATTACTATTAGGTAAATTTTTTATTTTTTTTAATTCTCTTCTATTAAAAAAACTACCTAAAAGGACTAAAAAACAACAACTGGAAAAAAAATTAAAGTATATATTACTTTAGGTTAGATTATGAATCCAATTATAAAGGATCCAATTTACCCTATTTGTCCATCGTACAAAAGTTAAAACCATCTTAGATGTCAAATACCGCTCAATATGCTCTTTAAGAATAGATGTTACATTCGATCTCCACGAAAATCCTCCAGAAAATGTGTTCCCAGTATATATCATTCTTGTTGAAGAATAACCGTTATTAACCATAGCCGCCTAGAGGGAAGATTGGAATGAATAGGAAGCCCTATTAAACTAAATATACTCTGTTATGAAGTGAGTTAAAGAATTGCACACACACATATGCTTTAATCTGCAGCTACATAAGCCTGGGAACTGGTATACACTACCGAGCAGTTTAGGCAGTACCTAACATATTATAAAAGTGGAGGTAGTCCAGTTAGATAATTCTTCAGTCAGATTTGAATCCTCAGGCGGCTTTAATCATGCCAATTAGAGTCGCAATATAATATATATGTGAATATAAGTATGTAGTGCATAAAATGCTAGATTTTTGGCTAATGAATAACTGAATGAAGAAGGTACATTGGTTATATGATAGTACTTTACTTAACCGAGTTTATATTTTTTTAAAAATTTTCAAATTCCTCAAAGTGTGAAAAACTTACATAGTAAAATTTTCTGAAATTTATATTTTTTCAAAGAGAATAACTTAAGCTTTCTTTTGATATATATCTCTATATTAGCGCTATTCTAGGTTTGTTAGTACACTAAAATGAATTATACTTTTTAATTTTTTATTAGGTATAAGCTAATTGGAGTGTATCTTGCAATCTTAAACTGCAAAAAACAAATTATTTTCATTATTTTTTAATAAAAAAGACAATAAGTCAAAACTTAAAATTCAAAATAATCTCAATTAACTGAACTTTTGTATGATTTCAATGTTTCATATTCAAATTATTCCAATATGTTTAATAACAGATAACAGTTTGAAAACATTTTACAGTTTGAAAAGCTTTGTGGCAACGTTCATAATGTTTTTTGTTTATTTGTTCATTTTGATTGTATTTTTAAAAGCACAAATCTTTAAAATTTTTAAATAAATTTATATAAT